TTCCTTCTCTGAAATGTTTACCTTTTGGCTAAAAATGCTCCAAATGAGTCTTAGCCTTGCAGTTTGGTTGCACTTTGCCAATTAGAACAGAAGTCAGCTGTATAAATGCTTTTAATATAATACACACAACCTGCTGTTTTATTGTATCTACAGCAGATCACCTGAGTATGCTATGTAACTTTAGGAGTTCAACTGTCTGGACCTGTGCGTGGTGCTTCAACCCACAAGCTGATAAATGCTTCAGTACAGGTAAAGTCAATAAATTATTAGTGAACTAGATCCTCTTAGTAATCATTTAACTTTGTTCAAATCACTGGGGCTTTGCATCTTAAGAAGATTGTGTTTGAAAATTAAAAGAAAGTTGACTAAGGCTTCCAGAACAATGTTTGTATTCAGTTGGTGATTTACTGAACTTCACTTTCAGCAAAGACCTATGTTTAATTCATTCTGTGCTGAGTTGCCGTGAAGCAGGCCATTAGAGGTACTGAAGTTCTGAAGAAGGGTCACCGGACCCAAAACGTTAACTCTGTTTTCTCCTCCACAGATGCTGCCAGACCTGCTGAGCTTTTCCAGCAACTTTGTTTTTGAAGGCAAACTATATGTTGGTTAGACAGGTTAGATGCACGAAGGATGTGCCGAATGGTGGGAGAGCTTAGCACCAGGGGTCATAGTTTAAAGATTGGGGTAAACCTTTTGGAGAATGAGGGGTCATAGTTTGAAGATTGGGGTAAACCTTTTAGACCATAAGATATAGGAGCAAAATTGAGCTATTCAGCCTATTGAGTCTGCGCTGCCATTTGATCATGGCTTACATGTTTCTCAATTCCATTCTCCTGCTTTTTGCCTATAACCCTTGACCCTCTTACCAGTCAAGAACGTATCTATCTCTGTCTGAAATACACTCAATGACTTGGCATCTACATCCTGACTATTGCTAAGAGCCCTGTACACAACTCCCATCAGTTCTTGGAGATAGCAAGAACTGCCGATGCTGGAGTCAGAGATAACACAGTGTGGAGCTGGAAGAACATAGCAGGCCAGGCACCATCAGAGGAGCAGGAAAGTTGATGTTTTGGGTCAGGACCCTTCCTCAGAAATGGGGAAGGGGAAGGGAGCTCAGAAATAGAGAGAGGAGGGGTGGAGCTGGGGAAGGTAGGTGGGATGGTGATATGTGAGTGCAGGTAGGGAGTGGTGGGGATTGGTCAGTGGGATGGGTGGGATGGATAGGTGGAAGAGAAGATGGACATAGTTTCTGAAGAAAGCAGAGCTTCCTACTGAAAGCCTTTCATCCCTCCTCCACCCCTCTTTGTGCTACCTCTGGCCTGGTCAGACCAGGGAGGGGCAGTAACTACTGAATTCATGGGAGATTGTGGTCTGAGCAAAACCCACAAAGTGAGAACCGAAACCTTCATCTTGATCAGCACAAATGTTCCATTGACTCAAGAGTTATAGAGTCATAGAGATGTACAGCACGGAAACAGACCCTTTGGAACACTTGTCCATGCTGACCAGATATCCTAAACTAATCTAGTCCCATTTGCCAGCATTTGGCCCATATCCCTCTAAACTCTTCTTATTTATGTACCCATGTACCAATGACTGTCGCAGCGGCACTGATGCCGATGTACATTCATGTACCCATCCAGATGCCTTTTAAATTTTATAATTGTACCAGCTCAACAATCTACAAACCAACACCCATATCTACAAACCCAGAGAGCAGAGCGAGTAACAATTAATCAGTAACTATAATAAAAGGTAATGTGAACTCCACTGTTGTTGGAACTTATCCTCCTGCTGAGTACATGACCAGCTGTGGGTGCTAACCCAAGGTTCAAACAACAGTAACATTGGAAATAGATTTTTCTTTCTTTATTCATTCACAGGATGAGGGCATCGCTGCTAGGCAGCATTTATTGCCCAGAGGGCAGTTCAGTGTCAACCACATTGCT